TGGATAACAGAACATTTCCATTATAGCAGAAAGTTCTATTGGACAGTGCTGTATTAGAATGACCACAGCATTGGAAACCCAAGCCTGTATGTGTACAGTACTATACAGCAATGAGAACGAATGATCTATTTATTATATATAATATGGGTGCCTCTCACATGTGACAGGTCCTGATACCCAAGAGAACACACTATAGATTCTTTTACTCTACAATACAAAGTCAGGGGTAAAAGTGAGAACAGAGGTCGCCCTTGGGAAGTCAAGTAGTTACTATAAAGGCACACAAAGGGGCATGTGGGGTGCTAGACAGGTTCTGTACCTTGATCAGGCTGCTGCTTGCACCAGTGAATTGTTTGTGAAAATCTAGTTATTGATACACTGGCTTGTGCTTTTTCTGGACACAATAGACATTAAAATATTAAAGTCCAGATACTGTGGACCATACACTTTTAATGTACATACAGCATTTGCTTGTTGAATGTGCAAACTGTTTTCCCTTTATACAAGGGAGTCAAAGTAAAATCTTCCCTTCACTGTCTCCTCCTTATCCTTAACTGGATACAGAATGCTGAACACAACACACAGCAACTAGATACTAAGAATGAAAGTGAAAGTTTTGAATGATTTTCTTCACTTTAATACCAAATAGGAGAAAGACCTATTAAAGCAAGATGTCCCTTAAGATTTCTGTCTTGTTGACAATTTTTACAGTGTATCACAAAAAAAGAAGGAAAAGGAAGGGAGGGAGGGAGGGAGAGAGAACAAACCCATATGCCATTATTGGCTTCTTGGGAAGAACCTTCGCCTCTTTCTAATTTCTTGAAAGTAAACAGATGACAGGTGTGTAGCAGGTTCTAAAGGATGGTGCATTCCTGGCAATAAAATGCTGAAAAGTGATAATGATGCCTAATTTCTAAGGCTAGACCATAAATCCCTACAAGAATGGGAATACAAACATCTCGTAAAGAATTTATAATATGTTCAGCACAGAAGCAAAGGTGAAAATAGGAATTCCCCAGCCAGGACGTCCTTGTTTAGGCTCCTCAGACTCCAAGCAAGGACTTAGGCTGAGTTGCTTTACTGAGGAGGCAAGTACAGGAAGCAGAGGGGAGGAAGTGGAGTGCGATGGGGGGCAAGGAGAAAGCAGTGTAGGGTAAGGACGGCTCCAGCCTGTGGGCAGCTGGGTACATCTTTTTGTTTTGAGACAGAGTCTCCTATAGCCCAAGGCCTCACTAGCATCTTGAAAAACTCAATTTTTATTTTACAGGCACGAATGTTGTGGGTGCATGTATGTAAGTACAACACATGCATACACAAGCCTGAAGAGGGCAATGGATTCCCTGGAACTGGAGTTACTGACGGTTGTGAGTTGCCATGTGGGTACTGGGAACTGAACCTGGGTCCCCTGCAAGTAGCAGCCAGTGCTCTTAACTGCTGAGTCATCTATCCAGTCCCTCCACTAGCATCTTCTAAAAAAAAAATTAAAATTTAGCTGGGTGTGGTAGTGCTCACCTTTAATGCTAGCACTTGGGAGGTAGAGGCAGGTGGATCTTTGTGAGTTCAAGGGCAGCCTGGTCTATATAGTGAGTTCCAGGCCAGCTGGAGCTACAGGGAGACCCTGTCTCAAAAAGTAAAAGAAAAAAAAAATTTAATTTACTTTCACTTTGTGTATGAGTGGTTGCATGTCTGTAGGTGCACCACCTATGTACAATGCCAACAGAAGCCAGAAGGCATCAGATCCCTGAAACTGGAGTTACAGATGGTTGTTAGCTGCCATGTGGGTGCTGGGAACCGAACCCAGGACTTCTGCAAGAGCAACCAATGCTATTAACCACTGAGCTATTTCTCCAGCCCTTTAAAAGAATATATTTTATTTACCACTAGCATCTTTTGAAGCACATGTAGAGTGAATCCACTGGGTAACAGGGAAGCTGAGGTACCAGTCCCCATCCTTACTAAATTCCACTTATAGGAAGTGTTTAGAACAGGCCATCCACCTATAGCGTGCTTAGGGCAGGGAGGAGGGAGTAGGGCTAGGAAGATCGAGAAGTAATGGCTCCATTATTGGGAGTTGGAGGATAAAAACATTTTAGCATTTATCATGGTGATTATGGTTGCACAACTCTTAACTATGCTAAACCCACTGGATTATATTCTTTCCATCAGTGAATTGTGGCCTGTGATTATTCTGCCAGTACATACTTTATCCACTTAGTATCAATTTCTGCCATCTCCTTGTGCCTGCTGTGCAGGAGACAGTTCAGGGTTTTCAGAGACCATTTCTGGAGCTGGGCTTTAAGCCCTGACCTTCTCATGTAAAGCACCTGCTGTACATTCCATCCCAATCACTTTTACACTGTTTCCCTTCTATACAGCTTAAAAAATTTATGTGTGAGTGTTGCTTGAATGTAAGTGCACTGTGTGTACAATGCCCATGGAGGCTAAAGGAGGGCATTGGATCCCTGGAATTGGAGTTAAGGATGTCATGTAGGTGCTGGGAAGTGAACTTGGGTCCTCTGCAATGGCAGCCAGTGCTCTTAACCACTGAGCCATCTTTCCAGTCCTAATTATTATTTTTTGTTTTGGGGGAGGAGTCTCCTAGTATTCCCAGCTGGCTCAGAACTCATTATGTATCCTAGGCTGGCCTGTCCATCTCACAGAGATTCACCTGCCTCTGCCTGGGATTAAAGGCATGTGCCAGCACGCCTGGCTCTACAGCTTTTTATGCCATCTCGTTGATCTGAGAGTAAATTGAATAAATGGCCAGGTGTAGTGGCTCATGCCTATAATCCTAGCACTCTGGAGGCTGAGGCAGAATTGCTGTGAATTTGAGGCCAGCCTGGCCTACATGGTGTGCTACAAAGTGAGTTCCAAGTCCGAGTAAGTATCTATCTAAAAAAAGCAAGAGCAGGAAGCAGATGTTCCAGGAGCTGCAAGGTGCAGTTTTAGTTTTGCCTTCTTGAAGTCTACTTCGGTCGTGAGCAGGAATTAACCTCACCCATTACTGATTTCTCTGAGACCGGGGTTTTGCTAAGTTCCTTAGATTCACAATTCTCCTGCATCAGTTTTCAGAATGCTAGGATTACAGACTTATATACATTTTCCATTTATTTCTGACAGGGTCTCATGTAGTGCAGGCTAGCCTCATACTATGTAGCCATGGATACTTGGAACTCTGACCTCCTTCCTCCATCTCCAAAGTGCTGGGATCCCAGGTCTTCACTCATTTAATGAATTACAACACATTTCATTGTTCACTTATACAACACTGTTATACATCACAGGTTCCAAGGCCCATGTGATCTGGCCACAGCTAACTCCCACACTCCAGTGCTTGTTCCTGTTTTCAGCACCTTCCAACTTTGGTTACTTTCTGGATTATTTTCATGCTACAAAGTAGCTAATGGATATTTTTCAAATGAATAAATGTAAATTTTTGCTGGATGTGGTGGCTCACACATCACTTGTAGGCTGAGATACGAAGATTGCCATGAGTTTGAGGCTATCCTGGGCTAGAGAGAGAGAAACCCTGTCTCAAAATCCAAAATAAATATTTTTTGTTTTTATACAATAACATTTTTCTAGGTATGTTTCTGCTTTTGGAGATCGGATCTTGCTGTATAAAACTGGTTGGCCTGGTACTTGCTAGTAGCCCAGACTGGCCTCAAACTCAAAACAATCCTGCTTCAGCTTCCCAAGTGCTGGGATTATAGGCGGTTGCTACTACGCCTTGCTAATATACAACATATGCTGCTCAGTAAGAGGAGAGGTGCTGTGAGCCAATTTTGTCATTATGTGAACATGGGAATGTATATCCGTAAACTAAGATGGTTGAGCTGCCAGTAGAGGATATCTCAGTCACTGCTGTATAGTCTGCTGTTGACCTAAACGTTGTTGAGATGCTATTGTAACATCACTTAGAGAATGGTTTTAACTAGGAATTCATGACTGAGACAGAGGTGTCAATGAGTCTTGCCATTTTTAAAAACTGAATGTAGGAATGCACACACACGCACACACACACACACATATTGTCATTTTGAGACAGGCTCTCCCTGTAGCCACAGCTGGCCTGGAACTTACTATGTAGACCAGACTGGTCTTGAACTCAGAGATGGCCTGCCTCTGCCTCCCAAGTGCTAGGAGGCGTGTGGTACCATGTCCAGCTAGGAATGCATATTTTTTTTTAAATTTCATGTGTATGAGTGTTATGCCTGCATGTAAGTAAGTGCACCCATGTCGTGCAATGCCTGCGGAGGACAGAAGAGGCTGTCGGATCCCCTGGAACCGGAGTTACGGACAGTCAGACAGTTGTTAGCTACCATGTGGGTGCTGGGATTCGAACCCGGGCCTTCTGCAAGAAGAGTCAGTGTTCTTAACCACCGAGCCATCTCTCCAGCTCCAGGAATGCATATTTTTATGGATAAAGCTTTTCCCTCAAACATCTGTGATATAAAATAAGCTTAAATATCCGAGTTAAGGGAATAACAAGGCCAAGAAAAAGGGATACAGAAGGAAAGGCTGAAATGTGACTATAAAAGGTAAAGTGCCCTATGTTAGTCATGATGAAAGCACCCGTGCCTAAAATAGTACTTGTATATTCCTGTGGGTCTCTCTCTCTCTCTCTCTCTCTCTCTCTCTCTCTCTCTCTCTCTCGTGCACACATATTCATTCTCTTTTACCTAAAATACCTCCTTTCAAGGAGTCTGGCAGAGGACCTCTTTGTGAAGTCAGTTTTCTCCGTCTCCTTCTCTGTGGTTGCCAGGCCTGTGTGACTGAACCTTTACACACTGAGCCATCTTACCAGCTCACCGCAGGAGATTTTATAAAATTACCCATGCCAGCCTCTGCCATATTGGGTATGCTGGATGTGTATCTGCAGAATTCACCCAAATAATGTCCTCAAAAGAATCCACCTAGTCATATTTTAGCAAATTAAAACTGTTATAACATGGAACATTTGAATGGCAGATTATCTATCTAAACCAATAAAACATCAATTAATGGCAAATTAATTTTAATAACTTTTCAAAAACATTCAAAAGTAATAAGTATTTGTGTGTATGCTATACAAATGAATACTCATGAGACTTTGGCAAGAGGTTTCTGGTCTCTCCGGTGACTACTTGGTGTTTTGGGAAGCCCTGTCTCGGTGTGACTGGTCCACAGGAGCGGAGTTCAGTCCACAGTGCTGGAGTTCCAGAGGCGGCAGCATTTGTTCCTGTCCATGTGCACAGTGCGGATGCTGTTTTCGCTCAGCCCCATTCACATATCCAGATGTCTGTAAAGTCTACGACTTTTCTCTTTTTTATTTCTGTTGCCATGTTTTTTCCAAGGCTTCCCAGTCACATTCTCAGTACTCAGAGCAGCTGCAGTCACCAGTCCACTCCCAGGCTTGTAACCCATCACAGCCTCGACCCCTTTGGTCAGAGCCCTCACATTCTCCTGGCAGAGAAGAGAAAGCATTCTGTGAGACAGGAAAGGCCATCTGCTTTGAGGGAAATGCACAGGGCTGTTTATGCCTCACTTTGGATGAAGAGGAAAAAATCGCACAGCGGACTGCCCTCTCCTCCCGGTCCCCTTTCCCTCTTCCCCCATGCTAAGCTTCTAGGCGCTGTCTCAGTTCATCTCGTTTCCATGCTCCCTTGTCTGCTTTGTTTAGTCCAATAGCTTTAAATGCCATCTAAAACCATCTAGAACTCTCACAACACCATCTGCTTTCTGGAAAATTCCATTTTTTTTTTTTGAGACAAGGTCTCACTGTGTAGTCTACACCAGTCTTGAATTCATGATCCTTTGCCCCTTGAGTGCTGAGATTACAGGTGCCCATCACCACCTACGGTTTGGAATCTCTATCTAGATACCAGATTCAAGCTGGTTCAATCCACACTAGACACTGAAATTTTATTTAGTAAAAAGAAGAAGAAGAAAAAAAAGCAATATCCCATAACCTGTATACATATAAAATAATACTCTTAGGGGCTAAGGTTTAGATATATAAATTAAAATTAAGGGTGAGGATTTCAGATGTTTTTAGAAATTCTGCAAGCATTGAAAATCTTAAACTAAATGTCCTGTATGAGAACTGCAGGACTAAGAAAGATTCCATCATCTTTCTGCATTCATTTCCTTACAAATATTGATACAGCCTTGGAAATTCAAACTAAGAGACACAACATGTAAGTCCATCCCAGCTATGCCATGCAGATGTGCTCTTGGAGAAGTCAGTCAGTATCCTTGATTATCAATGTCCTGACAGGGAAATGGGGATCACATTTGCTTGCCTATACCTCAGTTCACTGTGTGAGGTACAGAGTGAGCCCCAGAGAAATGCCAGACTATCCTCTGGATACAGCTAATCTTTTGCTATAAAAATCTACTTATTTACTTACTTAGACAGGGTTCCATTATTTAACCCAGGCTGGCCTGAAACTCACGATCCTCCAACCTCAGTATCCAGAAAAGTTAGGATTCAAGGCATACACCACTATGTGTGGTTATTAAAAGTTTCTTGTGTGTTTTTTTAAAAAAGATTTTATTTTTATTTATTTTGAGATATGTAGTTGTTGCTGGCCTAGAGCTCTATATTGACGAGGCTGGCCTCAAACTGAAACAGCTGCCTGCCTCTGCCTCCTCTCCCAAGTGGGACTAGATACATGTGCCTTTACACCAAGCTTTTAAAATTTTATTTTTCATTTTTGGTCTTTTTGAGACAAGGTCTCCCTCGAGCTGGCCAGGAACTCGCTATGTAGACCTGGTTGGCCTTGATCTCAGAGAGATCTGCCTGCCTCCACCACCTGCATACTGGGATTAAAGGAGTATGCCACCACATCTGGCTCCCAGCATTATTTTGTGTGTGTGTGTATGTGTGTGTGTGGGGGGGAGTTGTACATGACAGTACAGTGCTCTCATAGGCCAGAAGAGGGCGTTTGATTCCCCTGGAACAAGACAGGCAATTTTGAGCTACCTGACAGGGGTATTGGAAACTGAACTCAGGTCCTCTGCAAGAGCAGTATGTGCTCTTAACTGCTGAGCCATCTCTTCATCCCCTACCAAAAAGTATTTGAAAAGTGTATTAACTACAACCAAATGCTGTAACCATTTTCCATATAAACCTTTGAAAATGTTACCAGCAAATTGTTGCTATTGATGTAAGCAATTAAAGTCACTAATATTTTATTTATTTTACATGTATGTATGTATGTATGTATGTATGTATGTATGTATGTATGTATGTATCTGTCTGTCTGTCTGTCTATCTTTGTGTGTGTACAAGCTCAGAGGTCAGAGGACAACTTGAGGGAGTGGGGATTGAACTCAGGCTTGAGAGCTAGTGCTGCTAGTGCCTTCACCTGCTGAGCCATCTTCCCAGCCCTCAAGTTATTAATATTTTGAAGTGCAGAAGACACTTATAAAGTCTGAATGTGTGTGTGTGAGTGTGACATGAAAGCAGAAGGGGAGAACTATTTGGGAGGAAAGACATGAGCAGGATGCAGAGAAGGGACAAGGAAGGATACGGGGGGCTGGGCAGAGCATAATGACATATATGTGTAATGAAATCCATTATTTTGTATGCTAAGTAAAAAACACAAAACAAAAACCAAACACCCCCCAAAGTGGCTTTGCTAGCATTTTCTATCACCTATGCTAGCTCAGAGAAAAGACAACTCCCTAAATGACTAAACATATTTGACACCATAAGTTTAATAATGGTCTTTATTCAAAATATTTAAGAATGTATGTGTGTGTGTGTGTGTGTGTGTGTGTGTGTGAGAGAGAGAGAGAGAGAGAGAGAGAGAGAGAGAGAGAGAGACAGACAGTCATGCAGCCTAGGCTGGCTTTGAATTCCTGATCCTCTTGCCTCCAACTCCCAAGTGTCAAGTGCTAAAAGCACAGTTGTGTACCACCACACCTAACTTAGAATATGTAAAGAATTCTTCTGCTAGAATCCCAGCACTTGGGAGGTGCAGGCAAGATCAGGAGTACAAGATCATCCTCAGTTACACAGGTAGTTCAAGTGCTAGTTTGGCTTACATAAGACTATGTTTCATTCCCACCCCCAAAAGAATTCTTACAATAGTAATAGACATTTTGCCAAAGGAAATATAAACATACTTTGAGCATGTGAAAAGATGCTGCTCAATACCATTAGACATTAGGGAAATACAAATCATAACTATGAGACACCACTTCAGATAGCTCTAACAACACCAGAAAATAGTATTGGCAAGGAGGTGGAGAAATTAGAAACTTCCAACACTGCTGTGCTGAAAAGTCTGACGGTATCTCAAAAGTTAAAACATGGCTTTACAGACAACTAAAATGATCCAACTCCTCAATATTTACCCAGAAGTGAAAATCTACACCACATAAACACTAACAACACTATTCACATTGGCCAAAAAAGAGGAAGACAACTCAAATGTCTATCAACAGATAAATGAAAAATAAAATATATCTTTATAATGACTACTTGCCAACGGTAAAGAATAAGTACTATCACACATGAAAACAAAGGTGAACCTCCAGGACATGCTAAGCAACAGAACAGTCACAAAAGACCTCACAGTATGATTCCATTCATGAAATGCCCAGAATAGGCAACTCCACATTCAGAAGAAACAATTTAATGGTTGCTGGGGACAAGGGGGAAAGGGGAACGTAGGGGCTATCAGTGGTATGGGGCTTCTTTTTTGGGTGATGAAATTTTAAAACTGTGATAAAGGATGTACAACTCTGACTATACTATAGACTACTGCATACTTTAAAGGTAGCCAGATGTGGTGATGCACACCTGTAATCTTGACACTACAGAAGCTGAGGTCTGCTACATAGCAAGACAATAAAAAAGCCAGGTGTGGTGGTGCACGCCTTTAGTCCCAGCACTCGGGAGGCAGAGGCAGGTGAAGCTCTGTGAGTTCAAGGCCAGCCTTGTCTGCATAGTGAATTCCAGGCCAGCTGGGGCTACAGGGAGACAAAAAAGACCAATAAGTTAAGCTTTATTTTTACTGTTTTTATTTAGATGTTATGTGTGCCCTGGGAGGCCAGAAGAGGATGTTGGATCCCCTAATGATGTAGTTACAGGCAGTTTTGAGTTGCCTAAGGGAATGCTGGGAACCAAACTTGGGTCCTCTGGACGAACAGCAAGTGCTCTTAACTGCGGAGTCATCTCCCCAACCCCCTAAATGTTTACCGTAGTAAATATTTTGATTCTTAGTATTACAAATAATGTATTAAATAAGAAGTTAGACTCTTAAAACGTACTTGATGGAAAAAAGTTTTGTCAACTACATTTTCAATCTGCTTCGCCTTCTGATTTCTGCCCAGCTGCACTTTTACTTCATCAACCTTTGTTTTGTTCTCTAGGAATCGCTGGTGTTGATGCTGAAATGTCACAGGATCTCTTCCAGGAGGAGGGTGGCAGTACAGTAGTTTACCCTACAGAGACAACAGCACACTGGATGATAACAGCATACTGTAACTACATTACCCCAGGACAGCCAATGTCCTCAGAAGCAATGTGTCCTTCAATTAGACACTGAGGGAGCTTTCTGTGTTTTGATTATGCTGAGTTTTGGTCTACAGTAACTAGACTCCTAACTCTGACACACTAATGCGGATGCCTCAGGTGTTCCAGAGACCTGCCTCTTCCCAGGGCCCCAGACTAGAATGAAATCTTCCTTCTCTGTGCCCTTCTTTACTTTGATTACATTTCTACTAAGTATTCTTTAGTTTTATGATTACACTTATAATAAATATTTTCTAAAACAAAACCAAGGACATAGTGGACAATTATGACTAAATTGTTGGGAATACCAGGAGTCTGAAATCAAGATGGTTTCTAAGGAGTTGGGGTGCAGCTCAGTAACAGGGCACTTGCCTAACATGTCTAAGGCCCTGAGGTCAATCCCCAGGACCAACATATAACACAAAACAACCTACCCAGGTATATAAGTGCATCTCAACAGAAAAAACATTCCTTAACAGGCTGTCATTAACTAAGAGCACAGTATAAAGAAAAGAAAACTTGTTTATTCAAGGGCAACAAAAATTCGTAACTCAGGACTCACTCACCTTGACATAATCCTTTAGGATATAGCGTGCAGATCGAGGTTGGTCTGGCTGTCCATGTGCTGTCATGAATCCTCGCATACCTGTGAGAGAAATGAACTGTGTGAAACTCAGGCCTCAGAATATCACAAGAATAACTGAGGTGACATACAGTTCATCCTACTTCCAATAATGCACTGCATGCTTAGGTCTATGAAAAAACAAACTCAGTCTCACTGTACAACACTATCATTAAAAACATTTGCTAATGTAGAACAGACTGTGTAGCTTTATCAAATATCTTTAGAAAATATTTTATTATTATTTTTATGTGTATGAACGTATTGCCTGCATGTATGTAAATGCACCCATGTTGTACAATGACTGAAGGGTCAGAAGAGGGTGTCAGTTTACCCTGGAACTGGAGTTACGAATAGTTGTTAGCCACCATGTGGGTGCTGGTAATCGAACCCAGGTCCTCTGCAAGAGCAGCCAGTGCTGCTCTTAACTGCTGAGCCATCTCTCCAGCCCTTTTATCTAATCTCTTATCCATCACCTAGCACCATGACAGGCTCTTTCAGTTTCTCTGTATCAGTTATTCTATCTGTTGATCTTTAATTTATTCATGGAGGGTACCTGTAGGAGAATATCAGGAAAACAACAAGCAATAGAGCAAGCTTTCTTATTTATTGGTAACCTACGTTTTCTTTTTTCATTTTCCCAAACATAGCCAAAAGATTGCTTTAATTCTCGGTAAGGAGACAGTAACAAAGCACAGTTGTTTGGCACAACGGTTCGTTTCAAAACTCAGCTCCTGCATATACTAGCTATGCCGGTCTTTTAGTTTAGGAGAAAATATTTAGAATTCTAATTCACATCACACAAAAATAAATTTAGATAAGAGTAAAAACCTAAATGTTGGGCTGGAGAGATGGCTCAATGGTTAAGAGTGTATACTGTTTTTACAGTGGACCTGAGTTCAGTTTCTAGTACCATGTCAGGAAGCTCACAACCACAAGTCTAGCTCCAGGTACCTGATGCCCTCTTCTGGCCTCCAAGGGCACTACACCGCCCCCCACACCCACCCACACCCACAGATATGCATAATAAAAAATGATAAAACACACACACACAGATACACATAATAAAAAATGATAAAACACACACACACACACAGATACACATAATAAAAAATGATGATAAAATCTTAAAAAACCTTAAATCTTAAGCATTCTAGGAAGACAGTTTTACTTGGGGATTAGAATAAGGAAAACCCTTACAAGCAAAACACCAAATCCACAGATGCCCCAAAGGAAAAAAAAAAGCCACATTAAAATTGTCAACTTCTATAGAGACCAAGAACCCATAAGAAAACACTGGGGAGAAACAAAACTTACAGCACATAAAACAGAACAACCTCTACAAATTAATCAGAATCCTTGAAGAAATGGTATTCAAGCCTGGTGTGGTAGCGCACGCCTTTAATCCCAGCACTTGGGAGGCAGAGGCAGGCTGATGGATCTCTGTGAGTTCAAGGCCAGCCTGGTCTACATAGTGAGTTCCAGGTCAGCTGGGGCTACAGGGAAACCCTGTCTCAAAAAAAAAAAAAAAACCCAACAAAAAACGAAATGGGATTCCCTGAAGCAACATTAAAGGCCAGCAAACATGAAGAAAATGCTTACCTTTACTAGTATTTAAAGAAATACTAAGTAATGGCTGGAGAGGTGGCTCAGCAGTTCAGAGCATGTACTGCTTTTGCAGAGGCCCAAGTTTTATTCCTGGCATCCACATTTAGTGACTGACTAACATCTGTAACTCCAGTTCCAGAGGAACTTTGACCTCCAAGGACACCAGTACTCAACCATACACAGATAATTAAATAAATAGAAAAAATATAAAGTAAAATTAGAATAATTTGACAATGCCTTTAAAACCATGGCCAGAACTTTCATTCTATACAGAGCTGTAGAGTGATCCCAGAAACTGCATACTTGTGGTCATTCATTATTATAAACTGTGAACCTACTGATTTTATTAGGTTCTATTAGATGAAAAATAGATTTATAAAGTTATTACAATGAAATAGCTTTGAGTGCAGCTCAGTAGGAGACTGCATGCTTGCCTTGGGTTTGGTGCCTAGTGACTCTCTCCAAATTTCAATTAATTATTTTTGTTAATTAACCATATTGCTCTATTTTGCTTATGTTTTACAATGATACAACTCACATCCATAAGCTGTCAACAGTTCTTCTGAGGTTGGCGGTCGGTAGGGATCTTCATCTTCTCTAGGTTTTATGATATTAATGCCATAGGTAGCTTCCAAAACATGTCGGGGGATATTCTGGCAAACGTACATTTGTCAAGGAACCCATTAACTTGATGTGATCTCTCTCTTTCCCATGGTATCTAAAACATGCTACTTCATACTTCTATGACAAACATGTTTTCTCCTCTCTAAACAAAGTGCAGTTACTCATGAAACAATCAGTCAAACACACCAATGATCATTTCAAATGCATTTTTAAAAATAATAAGCCAGATGTAGTGGCTTAAGCCTGTAATCTCAGCATATAGGATGCTGAGGATTGCTGTTTGAGGTCATTCTGGGCTAGCTCTAGGCCAATCAGAGTTAACAGTGAGACCCTGTCTCTAAATAAATAAAACATCATTAATATATTATCTAAGATGACATATTACCTTAACATATTATAAACTAATTCTGAGAGATATTCCTAGTTCAGATACAAGGGATCATGTCGTAGCTTCTGACGCCTAAAATTATGCTTTTAGAAGGCAATATTCCCCAAATCTTCAAGCCTTATCACATATTAACAACCAGAGTGCTTCTGAAACAGAAAGGATATTAGTGATATGGGTGGGACATGATCTCTCATCTGGTCAATTGGGAGGATTCCATTGCAAATCATCTCTGCCTTGGTAGAAACAAAGGATGGCATAACCAGGCCTGGGCAGTCACACAGGCAGAGGCCAGGCTCCACATACAGAGTCTGAAAGACAAAGCAGCAGTTTACCATGGGCACATGGCAACAAAGAGAAGAGGGGCAACATAAGTGGCAAGAACTGCAGATACCTGGAAGTGCTTGGTGTGACCAGGTGTGGCAGACACAGATACTTTCTTGTTGCCCATGATGGTGTTGATGGTTGAACTCTTACCAACATTAGGGTAACCTACCTAAAAGAGAATCAAAATTGCCAGTCACAGTACAGTTGAATGGCAGAAATGCTAGGAACTATTTGGTTTGTACAGATTATTTGAAATAGGTACTCTTTGGTTTGTTTTTTTATTTTTATGTGTATGGGTGTTATGTCTGCATGTGTGTAAGTACACCCATGTTGTGCAGTGCACTCAGAGGACAGAAGAGGGCGCCAGATCCCCTGAAACTGGAGTTATGGATGGCTGTTAGTCACCATGAAGGTGCTGGGATTTGAATCTGGGTCTTCTGCAAGAACAGCCAGGGCTCTTAACTGCTGAGTCATCTCTCTAGTCCTGAAATAGGTACTCTTTGTATATATGTTCACTTTTTTCCCCTTCTTGGGTTTATATATTAAGACTCATCTCCAGTGACAGACAGTCAAGATATGTGTCCTGTACTTCAATAGATTTTGCTGTTAACTTACAACAAATTCATCCTCTTATACCAAGCCTGTCCCTATTGCTCCATTTACAGGCATTTCACTGTTTCTACTGCATCTTCCATCAGGGTGAAGTTGAGCATTAGACAAACATTCATTACAACATCTGAGTAAAAAGTTCAGTGATTTTTTTAGTCAGGGCCCAGCAGAATGTGGCAGGTAATCTACAGATGCTTGTAGAATGAGTAAATTAACTTATTCTAAGGATACTTGGGAGGTAAGACATTCAGAAACAAGAAGGCTTTTTTATTTCTATAAATGAAAGAAACATGTAGAAAAGCCTAGCTTTCTGATACATGTGGAAATGAATTTTTAGCAATATAGAGAATATAGCCTTAGAGCTTAGAGAAAATAAGCAACTTTCCCAGTGTTCAAGTGAGTTCTACTACAGAATCACTCCTTCGTCTGCTGGACTCCAGAAACAACTCTCCAGTACACCAGAATAAAAGGTCATTCTACTTCAGTCATTTTAAAGTACATTTTCTTTTTGGGGGGTTGGGGGGCAAGTGGTGGTGATACAGGGGAGAAAGGGGTTAAAAATAATTAGGATTAGTTATATGTGAATGTAACTGATGAGCTGGGATCTCCTTTCTTCCACTGTTTGGTTTTCCAGGATAGAAGATCTTTATCATAAATGTCTTCTTTAATATCTTACATTTCCTTAGCTAAGGATGTATATCCATGGCATAGAGAGCCATGCTGTATCCCTTGGGGAGTGGGCAGGTACCACTGGGATATAGCTGGGATGTGATCCTACTTTTTGCTATGTTTGTTTATGCAATGAAAGTATCTGCCATAGCCTGCCTGGCCAAGATTCTCCCTAATGGCATCTGGAACATTAACTGTGTAAGTTGGCAAGGATCACGGGATATCAAAAGGATACTGTGCTGAAGTCTGAAGACAATATTAAAAACTCATTTTCATATCTTGGTAATTGACATGACAGAAAGAGCTAAACCAGAAAACTAGAGAACACATTTAATATAAATGTGTACGTTCCCAATATAAACCCTGCCTGTCATACTGCCTCATTCCATGATGCCAGTGGGCAACAGAAGGCAATATGCATGTTATAATGCAGAAGCTGACTGCTCTCTGGGGTCCTATGTAGCTATGAAAGTATGGAGACTAAAGCTATGAAAGTATGGAGAATAAAGACCTTCATGTGGAGCTAGTTTTATGATGTACTTAGCTTACCAGTCCAACAGTGAGCTGCCCATCTTTCACCTTCTTTCCAGTGTGCAGCTGCTTAAAGAGTTCCAGCAATTCCTGCTTCGATACCAGGTGGCTAAAACTGTGTTTCTGCTGCCCCTCTGGGGCTGTTCTGCTCTGAGCCTCAGAATCTACAGTACAGTGTGCCTTCCAGTCCTGATCATAGGTCCCCTCATCAGGACTGCTGCCGTCTTCTGAGCATGTCTGCCAATCATCTTCCTCTTCCTCCTGGCAGTCCTCATACTCACTGTCATCTCTGCCACTCATGGAATCTTCACTAAGTGAGAGAGAACCCCTGTGTGGGAGATGGTCAGTCTCACTGTGTGAAATCTCATTCTCATCCAAACTGGAACTTTCAGAATCAGCTGTGGTGGATTCTCCAGCAACTCTGTTTACTTGGTCCTGAAGAAGTAACAGAAACCGCAAGAGCTCAGAAATGTCTACCTGCACTTTTCCCTCAGTGAGCTAGTTATGGGAGATGACAAAGGACAAGACATGTTATGCTGGAGACTGGCAAAGGTGAAAGGAGGCAGTGCAGTAAGCATCTCAGTGCAAGGACATATAGGCCAACTGTCAACAGTGGTGCCCTGGGGGGGTGGGGGGGGCAGGCAAGGCAATCCTGGAACTCCTCCTCCTGCCTCTGGGAATAAAGGTCTGCACTAGTACACCCAGCAGTATCACTAATTCTTAACAACAAACATGAAATGGTATTTGTGATATAAACCTATTGTTTTAAGATAATTTAGCATCAGAATGGTTAATAGTCACTGAAGGGAGCATAATGAATTCAGTCACACTAGCATCTTAAATATTAGAAAAGTAGAGATAAAAAAGGTATCATTCAGGGCTGGAGAGATGGTTCAGTGGTTAGGAGCACTAGCTGCTCTTGCAGAAGACCTGGGTTTGAATCCCAGCACCTACAGGGTGCCTAACAACCATTCATAACTCCAGTTCCAGGGTATCCTACACCCTTTTCTGTCCTCCACAGGCACGGCACGACACCTGTACACTTACATACATGCAGGCATAATGCTCATACACATAAAATAAAAATAAAATTTTAAAAAAGGTATTATTTTATAATCATACCAACTCAAAAAGAAACCTGGCTTAGAGCTAGAAAATTGAGAGAAATTTTTATGAATGTAAAGTCAATTTGTCCTCACGTGAGCTTTTCTGGATCATTTTAAAATATGAAAAGAAACATAAGAACAAAAATGTGAACAGAACATGAATATTTAGTGGAAAACGTATTGCTAGAAACAGTGCAGCTGAAGGGAAAAAAATTAAAAACAACCAAAGGATTTTACAACAGTTATGTTAAAAAATAAAGAGTCAAACAGAATGAGCTCTCTCCCACACACATGCGATTTTTTAAAAAATTTATTTTATAATTTTTATTGTATGTGTATGCATGTATTGCCTGCATGTAGGTAAGTGCACCTGTGTCGTGAAATGCCCACAGAGGACAGAAGAGGCTGTTGGATCCCCTGGAACTGGAGTTATAGACAGTTGTTAGCTGCCAGGTGGGTACCGGGATTCAAACCCGGGTCTTCTGTAAGAACAACCAATGTTCTTAACTGCTGAGCCATCTCTCCAGCCCCCCCTACACATTTTAAAAGTATTTGAGAGGGTTTCCTCAGCCTCCGGAGTGCTGGGATTAGAGGTATATAATGCACTTAATTTTTAAAAACACATTTGAAGAAAATTATTGCTGCTGGTTAAATGAGCCAAAAACATAATCTTTATGAACTGACTGAGCTATCTTCCCAGCTCCACAAGTGTGACTCTTTCTGTATATGCCCTATCAGACAACAGCTAGAATAATGTACTCAATTAGGTACTATCAATTTTAGTGGAAACCCCAACAGGCAGACAAACACCAAGATCAGGGAACCAGGGATGGTCTCTATAAGGCATTCCATGGCAGAAAAACGTACAAGCTGTACAAGAAGACAACAGATAAATTCTAAGAGAAAAGATTAGAGGGGCTAACTTAGCTTTACTGAAGGGAAGGAGTTTCTGAATTTAGAGCTAAAAAGGAATGAATTACCTGGTCTCGAGGCCCTTGTCATTGCTGGGGATGGAACTTGGGGCCTTACTCATGCTTGGCAAACATTCTACTCTAAGCCATATCTTAGCCCAAAATAGTCAGAGAGATGTAACATGACCATCTGACAGGGGCAGGTGCTGTAGTCACAGAACCTATCTCAACACCCTCTAAATGGTCAAAGAGGATTGACAAGAAGATAAAAGGAGAGGACAGGGGTAAAGAACACTTCTAAGTGTCTTCTAGCTAGAAGATCCCATTATCAATTTTTTTCATAAACCTCAAATTGTTACTGTAAAATCTGGGTGAAAGATAAAGCAACTATAAGATTATAAAACTTTCTATACAACTTCCTGCCTAACATTAAAAAAAATTAAGGTAGCAGTATGTAACACTGGGTATGTTGGATTACTTGAAAATCAAATTAACTTTATGATTAAAGGTTCTAAATTTTTTTATAGACCATTCTACAATCATATCATTTGGGGAGGGGAAGAACCCCCAAACAAAACTAATTCCTACAAACTGTCAATCTGAAAAAAAACAGAACAAAACAAAAAAGCCAGACATGATGGTGCAGGCCTTTCAACTTAGCACTCAGGAGGCAGAGACCAGTGGATCTCTGAGATCAAGGCCAGCCTGGTATTCATATCAAGTTCCAGGCCAGCTGGGGTACAGGGAGATCCTGTTTCAAAACATACAAACAAACAGAAATCAAGATAATCCCCAAAAGCACCTTGAGAAAGTCTCCAGGTTACCTTAGAGTCACCACTCAGATGGAGCGTTTCAGCCAAAGCTGACCAGAAAATAACCTTCACACCTTCTTTCTCAAAATATGTGGCCCAGGTGAACCGCTGCTCAGCAGTCAACAAGTCTGCCTTGTTTATGAGAATAATGTTCTCCTTATCAGCATCGATCTCTTTGACATAACATTCCTATAAAAGACAGGCATTTACAGTTTGTTCAAACAAGTAAAAAACCAAATTATACTAAATATTCTTAGAAGTTTTTATTGCTGTCCCCCCTCCCCCAGTTTTAAATAACTTTCTTTTAAATTTTAAAAAATTTATTATGTGTGTGTATGATGCTCCTGGGAGTGCATGCGTGCATATGTATGCCACAGTGTATACATGGCGGCTGGAGAAGAACTTTATGGAGTCAGTTCTTTCCTTCTACCTTGAGTTCTGGGAATCAAACTCAGAACACCAAGCTTGTACAGCAAGCACCTTAACCTGCTGAGTCGTCTTGCTGGCTCCTAAATCACTTTCTAATTTAAAGACTCTAAATCTTGATACATTCTAGTTAATCCTTTCTATGAGCTCTGAAACTTACACTGCTAAGATTTGTAAGAGTTTAGAAGAATCACTATGGTCTTCAAAGAGAAATATGTATAACACACACACACACGCACGGTGTTAATGAACTCAAGTGCATTACATTAGTTTAAGTAATCCTTATACTTTAGTAATTACCTGTGTTTTATGAACTTCGTTTATTTATAAAATACCACAGGTGTAATAAGATGTGAAAAAAGAGAACTTAATGAAATGGATTAAAGAGAAGTGATTAGAATATCCTAAATAAAAGCAAAAATGCTTTTGGAGTATTGTCTGTCTCTTGAAAATGAGAAACTAGGGGCTGAAGAGATGGCCTAAAGAGGGCTGTTCCTGCAGAAGACCTAGGTTTGGATCCCAGCACCCACATGGCAGCTAACAACCATCCATAACTCCAGTTCCAGGGGATCCAATGCCCTCTTCTGACCTCCAAGGGCATTGCACAACATGGCTGCACTTACATAAATGCAGGCAGTACACTCATACACATAAAATAAAAATATTTTAGAAAATGAAAAACTGGCAAATGCCTAATAATAAAGTATCTTCTACACTAAAAGCTAGAAAACACGCATAAATGTTTGTGCCTTTCTACGGATGGAAATAATTATTGGAGAAAACAAATGTCTAAAAGTGGCATTAGGTAAGCTCCTGACCTTGAGAGGAGAGGGAGGCTTAAATAATAAAGATAGACAAGACATAATACTTGCTTACGGTTACTGCTCAGAGAGATTGTTCCAAGAGTCCAAGTCAAACTTTACTTACCAAATCCTCACATCTAAACAGGAGTGGGTTTCGAGCATCTACTATCTGGACCACGATATCACTGGAAGAAAATGAGAAAATCCAGTTACTGCAATGTAAAAAGGACCACTGACACAGTAGTTAAGGCAGAAACTCACAACTGGACGCAGTGCAGAGAGTGTGTCCGTGGAGTACACAGTCACAAATGGGACATCGATATCACATTCCCTCCCCTCAAGGCTCAGGGACCATGGAGGAAGAAGAGCCAGTGGTCAGGAGGACCAGAGTGAACCAGTGTCTTCTGGACATGACAGGACTGCTGTACTCATGAACTCAGAGCAGCTGTGGTTGCCTGTGCCAGACCTGTACAAGATCCAAGTCAATTTGGCTTGGAGTGGGGAGAGGCTCATGCCCCTCTCCCCCCACTAGCTGAGGAGCTATTGACATCTGGTAACATCTGGGGAAGGAAGAGTCAGTTCAAGGATGTAGGTTGATTATGCTCCAGTGGATAGCCCCACATCCAGGAGTATATGGGAGGCCCAAATAGGACTTGGTGGGCTATTAACAAAAAAAAGGACACTAGGAAGAGATAGTGGAGGGTGTGTGTGTGTGTGTGTGTGTGTGTGTGTGTGTGTGTGTGTGTTCAAAATACATTGTATGAATGTGTGAATAAAAATACTATATAGAGTTCTCACAAATTTTCCCAGGAGTCCTCATACTTCCTCTTCCTGTAAGAGGCCTGAAGTGACCTGCAAAAATGGTTTGCTATTCTCTTAACCCAGAAAACCCTACAAAATCATGCAAATCAAGAGGTTCCAATCTCTGTGTTCATTTGTGAAAACTTCAAGGGCCATCAAGGGTATGCATATACAAAAAATCCACCAAGTATCTGAAAGACGTTACTTTAAAGAAGCAGGGTATGTCGTTCTGGCTGTATAATGATGGAGTCCATGTGCCCAGGCCAAACACTGGGGCTGGAAACAGGGTCAGTGGCCCAAAAAGAGTGCTGAATTTTTGCTGCACGTGCTTAAAAATGCAGAGAAGAATGCTAAACTTAAGGATTTAAATATATGTATATGTAGACTCTAGTCACTGCACATAACCAGATGAACACACCACCCAAGATGTGCCGCAGAACTTACGGAGCTCATGGTCTGATCAACCTACACATGAAAAGATCCTCACTGACAAGAATAAATTTTTCCCAAGCCTCAAGAGGAAGTTTCTCAGGAAGAAAAACATATCTCAGAAGAAACCAAAGAAACAAAAACTTACAGCATGGGAATAAACTGAGTATAAAATAGCTGCAAATAAAAGTAAAAAAATCCACTATATTGAAAAAAAGGGACTGGGGGGGCTGGAGCGATGGCTCAGCGGTTGAGAGCACTGACTGCTCTTGCAGAGGACCCGGGTTCGATTCCCAGCACCCACATGGCGGCTACAAACTATCCTTAACTCCAGTTCCAGGGGAATCCGAAGCCCTCTTCTGACCTCTGCGGCACTGCACGACATGGGTGCACTCACATAAATGCAGGCAATACACTCATACACATAAAATAGAAATAATAAATAGAACATTAAAAAAAAAAGGGACTACTGGGGCTGGAGAGATGGCTCAGTGGTTAAGAATACTGGCTATGATTTCTAGCACATACATGGGAGCTAACAATGGTCTGTAACTCCAGTTCCAGGGGATCTGATGCTCTCTTTTGACCTCTGTGGGCACTGCATGACATAGATGCACTTACACACATGCAGGCGTAACACTCATACACATAATAATAAATGAAATATTTTAAAAAGGGACCACCGACCACATTATTAAAGGTAATTAAACAGTTGACATATTAAAATTTTTTTTATTTATTTTATGTATATCGAGTGTTTTGCCTGTATGTATAAGTGCACTCATGAAATGCCTATGGAGGCCAGAAGAGGATGTCAGATGCCCTGGAACTGGAGTTGTTAGCTGTCATGTGGGTGCTGGGAACCAAATCCAGGTTTTCTGCAGGTCTTAATCAGTGCTCTTAACCACTGAGCCATCTCTCTAGCCCTAACATATTAATTTAAGGCATAATTATTCCATACATAATATATTTTATATATTATTTTATATTTTATATATAAAAAAATATAAAATCTCGGTTATGTGATCTGCCCAAAGTCAGCTACTAAGTGATGGGGGCCCGAATGAGTACCCAGGGAGCCTGGACCAGAGGCTCCTCAACAATCCACTGCTCTAATACAGCTCAGACACATTCCAAGGTGAAGTTTACTAAATACTTCATCTCTAATCTGATTTCATAGTAAAGCCCTCAAACTAAACATTTTTCGTCAACTCCCATTATCAGTTGCCACAGTAAAGTATGAAAGGCAGTCCAACTTCTGTTCATATGCAAGATGTGACAGTAAGCCAGCTTTCTGCAAGCCCCTCCAATCCTTCACAATGCAGCAAGAACCACAACAAACCAGCATGGCACTGCAACCCTGTAACATTTTTCTTCTTAGAAAGAAGAAATTCTCTCAGAATCAGCCTCTGTGGCTAGGAAGATGGTCAGTGCCAGTTGTGACCACCACTGGAAAGAGACAAGCTGCAGAGGCATCTCCTCTCCAGTGGTCTTTCCAAATCTCGATTTGGCCACCAACTTTTGAGCAACTCTTTGCAACTATAATGAACACTAAGGAGTCAACATTTAGGGCAGAGCTTTAGATAATTCAAAGACCATTTTCTGAGCCAGGCATGTCAGTGCACAACTGTTAATTCTGGCACTCAGAAGGCAGGGTCAGGATGATTTCCACAAATTCCACTCCAGCTTGGTCTACAGTGAGTTCAAAAGACAGCCAGCCCTATATAACAAGACCTTGTCTCAAAACAAACACCAAATACCAAACCAAACCCAAAATTTATTTTCTTTTAGAATAGTTAAAATTCTAGCATAATCTTACAATTCAAAGAAACTTGAAGGCTTGCTGCTATTTTTAGATTTAAAAATTACATTTATTTATTTAGTGGGGGGGGGGTACATGTGTGATACCAAAAGCATATGGAAGTCAGAGGACAACTTAAGGGAGATGGTTCTCTTCTACCATGTGGATCCTGGAGACTGAACTCAGGGCATCAGATTTGGTGGCAAGCACCTTTACTCATTGAGCCATCTTGCTGACCCTGATACGCTGATTTTTAACCAACTGTTTTACACTCCTCTAATTAAGTTAGCCTCAGTATTTCCTTCTTCAGGGTAATAATACCTCATTTTTTAAACCAAACTAAACTGAATGACTGTAAAAACTGGGCAATGACTAATAAGCTACAGCTACAAACCACAAGACTCACAAACATTATCTCTATCTACCAAAACACAAAACAAACAGCTTTGAAACACCAGGGAGAAGACATTTCAGGGTAGCTTCTTTCATGGACTAGAATGCAAAGTACCAACTACGAAGCAGGAGGCATTTAAGCAACACAGTGGAAAAGCTTTACTGAAATACAGTGTTCTGGGCCTAGTGCCTCAGCAGTTTCCTGCATTTCTTACATATCAAATCTTTTCTGATAACTGCTATTAAAATTCTAGAGGCAGATGGCTTAGCTAGCCTGTTAGCAAACAGGAGACATCTGCTGTAGGGAAGACATCAATAAATATTTCCTATTAAAGATGTGGTAATAGTCACTTTACTAATAACATTCCTGGATAAAAGATCTAGTTTATGTCATATAAACTATATTCTATGAGTTAGAAACATAGTGTTATATTAAAAGACAATGGGCATGTGAGATGGCTCAGCAAGTAAAGATGCTTGCTATTAAGCCTGACAACCTAAGTTCATTCTTCAGGACTCACATAGTGGAGAACAGACTCACACAAGCTGTCCTCTGACCTCCGCAAATATGCCAAAGCAGGCACCCACTCCCACATGCATACTCATAAATAAATGTAGTAAAAAAATAAAAAAATATTTTATTGTTTTTATTTCATGAGTGTATTGCCTGCATGTATGTAAGTGTACCTGTGTTCTGCAATCCCCAAGGAGGTGAGAAGAGGGTTCAGGGCAGAAGCATGCACTCTCTTCAAGCATGAGTTGAGGCAGAGAAGTGCAATGTGTCTGGAGTGATCTCTCAGGTTGGCTCTGCTGTTCCAAATCAGCTTGTCCCATGGCTCCTATTCCTCTACCCCACAGCAGAGGGCTGGGGTTTACTATGGACAAGATGAACCTGAGCCGGTCTCCAACTGAGCCTTAGGCATTGGGAGCAGAGGCATTATATGTAAGAGATGAATTAAAAGGGAGGCATCATACTTAAGAGAGGGATTAAACATCAGCCTACATACTCAACCATGAAGATGCCTAGAAATTCGTTTATTCCTTTTAGATGTTTCTAATAGTGGTATATGCTTTTAAGGTATGTTCTAACAATTTTCTGATTTCACTGGTATCTGTCATAGTAATTCCCTTTCTGCCTCTAATTTTATTCATTTGAGTCTTCTATTTTGGCTAGTTTGGAAAAGTGTTTGTCCATCTTATTTATCTTTTCAAAGAATTAAACTCTGTTTCATTGATTCTTTGTAATATTTTTTGTTTCCATTTTACTAATTTCTGGCCTACTCAATAATTTTTTTCCAGCTACCGATTTGGGGTTTGGCTTGTTTTTGTTTCTCCAAAGTTACTTAAGATCTTTTGGGTTTTTATTTTTATTTTTTTTTTTGAGGCAAGCTTTGAAGTTGCTATGTAACTAAGGATGAACTTGAATTCTTTTTGGGCTGGGTGTGGTGGTGCACGCTTTTAATCCCAGCACTCGGAAGGCAGAGGCAGGCGGATCTCTGTGAGTTCAAGGCCAGCCTGGTCTACGTAGTTCCAGGACAGCTGGGGCTACAGGAAGACCCTGTCTCAAAAAAGACCCTGTCTCTCAGAGACCCACCTGCCTCTGCCTCCCAAGTGCTGGGACTAAATGTTGCCGCACCAGGCTTTGATTTTTCTCTTTCTCTCCCTCCCTCCCTCCTTTCTTTCTTCCCCTCCTTCCTTCCTTTTCCTCTCTCTTTCTGTTTTTATTTTTGTTGTTGTTATTGTTTGTTTTGAGACAGGGTCTCCTGTAGCCCTAGCTGACCTGGAACTTGCTATGTAGACCAGGCTGGCCTTCATCTCACAGAGACCTGCCTGCATCTGTCTCCCAAGTGCTGGGACTAAAGGTGTATGCCACCATGCCTGGCCTTGATTTCTTAATGCAAACACTTAGAACTTCCCTCTTAGACTGGTTTCATTGTATTCCACATGTTTGGGTATGCTGTGTTTTCATTTTTATTCCTTTCTAAGATTTTCTTGGTTTCCTTCTTGATTTCCTTCATAACCTGTTCATTATTCAAGTATGTTGTTTAATCTCCATAAGTTTGTGTATGTCCTGTAAGTTTGTGTATGTCCTGTATTTCTCTTGCTATCACAACACTGTTGGCCCCATTCTCAGGGCGTCATTCTTCACTTTGAAACAGATGGGGGGGGGGGGCGTTGGAGAGATCACTCAGTAGTTAAGAGCACTGGCTGCTTTTGCAGAGGACCCAGGTTCAGTTCCCAGCATCCATGTGGTGGCTAACAAACCATCTGTAACTCCAGTTCTAGGGGACCCAATCCCTCTTCTGACCTTTTTGGGCACTGCATGACACAACTACACTTATATCCATGCAGGCAATATACTCCTACACATAAAAATAATAACATTTTAAAAAAAGAAATAGGGGTTGGTGAGATGGCTCAGTGAGTAAAAGCACTTGCCGCCAAACCTGACAACCTGAGTTTGATCTCTGGGTCCCACAGGGTAGAAGAGAACCAACTCCTGCAAGTTGTCTTCTGACCACACATGTGCTGTGGCACACATGCATGCATCTACACATGGAGAAATAAATAAATGGAAACAACAAACTGGACAAATGCTAAGGAAAAAGACCTACATCTTGGTGTATTCCAACCAAATATAATCCATCTGCCCTTTCTTCCTACAGTCGTTCACCACTAGGCAAACGCCCATTAAACAGGTATGTCTCTCAGTCAGCTTTGCAATACTTCACTTTTTTTTTGGTCTTTTTGAGACAGGGTCTCCCTATAGCCCCAGCTGCCACTATGTAGACCAGGCTGGCCTTGAACTCACAGAGATCCACCTGCCTCTGCCTCCCGAGTGCCAGGATTAAAGGGGTGCGCCACCACGCCCAGCTAATATTTCATTCTCAAAGAGGAACAGATAACAAATATCACTAGTCATTTAAGGACACCTCATATGTAAATGGCAGAAACCAGAACAAAAAGAAAAAGGAACACAGAGGAAAAACAAACAATACAGGAAGAAGAAAATCTAAAACAAAAACTGTAGTCAAGTCTGTGGATGAGGTTCTTCTATCAAGGTTGATGGTGCAGCATTGCAGAGCTTGTGACCATTTTTCCTTGGAAATAAGCAGGTTACCCTGAACTGCTAATGAAGCTCTGAAGGAGACACAGTTCATTCTGTTCAGCTCAAGTTGCCAGGAGAATGTGGCAAGGTCTTGCAAGTGTCAATAAAGCCTTATGGAGTTAAGAGAGGTTTGTATGGAACCTGCCATCAGCAGCAGACTTCTTTTGGACTACTACTCTGATCTTCCCACATCCCAAACAACCTTCTGCCTGCTTCTGGGAAAGGGGGTGGTGGGGGGTGGGGGTGGGGTTAATGGCTTTTTTGAAAGCTGAACGTTTTCACCATCCTAAAAAGAAATGCAATTTTTTACAAGTTAAATTCAAGTCCAAATTAAACTTTATGATTATTCTTCCTAGGTATATTTTATGGATTTCAAATAAACACAAATTGAAGGTTCCTTATTAAAAATCATCATTTCAAGTATAAGGTTCATTTATGAAATTCTTGAAAGTAATTTGAAAACTCTTTGAGTAAACAAGGCCCTTCCAATCATTCAGTGGTGGTGAGAATTAGAGAAAGCTGATTCACCAACTTATAACAATCTGAAATTCTCCTCTGTGGTACATGCAAAAGAATGAAAATCTCACTCCCAACTTAATGAAAATAATACATTTCTTTAGAGACCCTGAGCATGGTAGTGCAAGCCTTTAATCCCAGCACTCAGGAGGCAGAGGCAGGCCGCTCTCTGTGAGTTCAAGGCCAGCCTGGTCTACACAGTGAATTCCAGGACAGCTGGGGCTACTACAAGGAGACCCTATCTCAAAAAGACCAAAAAAAAACAACCCTATTAAACAGAAAATCATGGCACTAGAGAGGTGGCTCAGGTGTTAAAAGCACTTGCAGCTCTCTCAGAAGACCTAGGTTCAATTCCCAGTACCTACACGAAAGCTTTGTTGCCCTCTTCTGTCCTTCACAGGTACTACACACTTACCAGTGTGTATACCAGCAATCAAAACACTTGTACAAATAAAAATATATCATTAAAAGAAAAGGTTTGCACTTCATCATCTGCCTGCCCCTGGAGCTCTGCTGACACATCTCCCTCACAGCAACCATGCTCTGAACCTGCCCTTTCTCATGCTTGCTTTCCACATACATTACCAGAAGGAACTCAAAACACGTTTGCCGAAATAACAGTAAGGTGCTTCAGAATTCATCTTACAGAAAAGTCACTATTCTTACATACCTGTCAAATGTACTTATCTAAAACTTTGTATATATATATATATATGTATATATATA